TAGATTGAGTTTGCCAGAGACTTCAGATTCCTCCAGTGCTTGTGTGCTGTTCCCTTGTGCTTCTGTGAGGTCTGGGGCTCTGGGGATGAGGGGTTCTCAGTATTCCTGCTACATCCTCCACTGGCAGCAGGCTCGACATACCTGCATGCCAGTGGACATTTATGGTCTACTCTCTTGCCCTCCCCTAGAATAGACAGCTCAGTGCAAGGTTAGTGGTGGATGTGAGGAGCGTGGGGCATGGAGAGGCGCTTGGTTTTCCTACTCCAGTCCCCAGTTTTTAAGCAGTCCCTGTGGCCTGAATCTCAGAGGGAGGACTTCCTCAGCCTTCCTGTCCCTCCTTAGTGGCAAGCAACCCTACCTCCTACCAAGTGCTCAAGTGGCTTCCTGCCCCTCTCCCTGTGGAAGTCGGAATCTGCTTCACATCAGTGCATTATTCTGGATTTGAAAGGTTTCACACCCTCACCTCTCCAGTGACTTAGTGTCAGTGCAGGGTAAAGACATCAGGTTTTTCCCAGAGCCTGGGAGGGACTGGGAGAGCGCGATGTGTGTGACAATTTCTTGCCCCTCCCCCAGGAATAGATGATTTGCCTTAAGTCACTCAGAGCCCTGTCCAGAGTGTGGGAGTGTCCTTGCTTATCCTGTCATCTCAGAGGAGGGTCCAGGGCATCTGCAGGTTGCATGCCTGGCCCCTTGTTGCAGTTGATCTGTCCCCTTGCCGTATCCAGGGCAGGGTGTTACACCTGCTCTCTCCTTGAGCCTTTGCAGGTCCTGCATGCGCCTGCATCACCCAGGGGCTCTGTCCAGTCTCCAGTCCACCCTCAATCTTTCTCATGAGCAAAGGGCTGTTCAGGGAGAGGAGGCTCTCCTTGTGTCTAGGGCTCCCAGGGACACGAAACTGTTGTGCTAGCCCATAATCAGGCTTTACAGCCTTTTAGATATTTTCTTACCCACCTTTAATAGCAACACTTCTTCCTGTGCTCTGCCAAGACAGAAAGAGTTCATGTACCCCATCTTTCCTCTGAGGGACTTGTCATCCTTTGGAACTCAACTGAAGTTCAGCTGAATTCAACTGAAAGTCAGCTCGTGTGAGGAACTCAGTCCCTGAGGAACTAAAAAATAATAATAATATATTTTTTTAGGTTGTGCAGCTTTCCCCACACATGGTGGGAACAATATTCTCTTGCAGCTTCCTTCATCTTAAACAGAGGCAGATCTCCAGCTTCCATTTTAAGAAACTTTCAAACATTTTAACATGGCCCGCAGCCTCTGTCTCCAGCCAGTCTTGTACCCTCTCCTCCTCCCTCCCTCATGATGCTCCAGTAACAGTGATCTCTCCAGTCCTCAAGAGTGCACGCTCATCCCCATCCCACAGCCCTTGCCGTTCACTGCACCTGGAGGGCTCTCCCCCATGTCTGTACCTGGATAACTCCAGTAATTCCAGGCATCCTTCATCCTACATCCCTTTATCCAAATTGTACATAAATTGCTTCTTCATTTTTTCTCACAGCTGGACATAGCCTGTTATCTTGATATAGTGTCTTTAATCAGTCCCCAAGGGGGGTTATTTAGATTATTTTCAATTCTTTATTTTGACAGTTAATAATTGTACATAAAGGTTATCTAGAAGATAAATCCCTAGAAGAAATGCTGGATCACATGGTATATGGATACAGTTCAGAATAGTGGTTAAGAGCCTGGGCTCTCCTCCTGGCCAGCTGGATAACTCTAGGCTAGTGATTTAACCTTCCCGTGCCTCAGTCTCCTCATTTGTAAAATGGGGATATAAGAGTACCTCTGTTGGAATTGTTGTGATGCTTAAGAGAGTCGGTGCATGTATAGTGCAGTGTCTAGCACCCAGCCACTCCGTTAATGTTAACTGTTACTATTAGCATTTAAAATTTTAGATAGATCTTGACAAGTTTCTCCCCATGAATATGTTACCATCATATTTATACTTCTATCAGTGTGAGAATAGCTGCCTCTTCATACCCTCAACACAATGTCTTATTAAAATGTCAGTCTTAGCTAACATGATGAACATGGCATCTCATAAGAGTTTAACTTGTATTTCTCTTATTAAGAGTGAAATTAAGCCTATTTTCATATATTCAAGTACACTTGTGTCCTGAATGTTCCGCAAGTTCGTCACTTACCTCTCTCGTACTGATCTGTAAGAGTTATTTACATATTAAGGAGTTTAGCCTTTGTCCGTGCAATGAGTAACTCTTTCAGAATATTCAGTACTTTTCTTTCCTAGAACTTATTCCTGTTTTTAATGATGTCTTTACTTATGGTTATTTTTTTAACATTCCATAAGATCAAAGTCTGTGTCGAGTGGTAGGTGACAGCCAGCATTTTAGCTGAATATACACGAGGGTCCTACTTTGGCAAAATACTTGTGAAGATTTTGCAGCCATCACCAGGAAGCTGTTGACTGGAACAGATGATCTCTGATGGCAAGAATGTTATGTGAGGTTTCATAAACAAATACTTCCCATCAGAAGCAATTTCAGGTGACGATAGTTATCGTAACAGCTTTAAAACAGATATCAAAAGGAAGGGGAAAATAGAAGCATTATATGTTTGCAAGCATAAAGATATGGGACATGTAGAAAAATTGTAGTGCCTTGAAAACATAACATTTAGTGAGAAGTATTTAGATAATGTTACAATTACATCCCACTCACTTATTGTGAAGAGATAAAAACCTTTACTAATGGAAAATTGAGTCCATCACAATTATCTAAACTTGTAGAAACTGTAAGTGCCCTTTTTGTATAAAGTAGGTCATTTGGTTTATCAATATACTGTGGTTTTCAATTTATAATTGGACAGAGATTGTGTTTTCTATTCCTGAACTAGCACTGAAAGATAGTTACTATCAATTTAATCTCCAGGTCTGTTTTTCACAGATTATATTAACTGCATGAAAAAGAAGAAACCGCTCAGTGTTCTAAAAAGAAATGCTTGTTTTTTCCATAACAGAATTTCTCCTAAAATAAGCTACACATGTTATTCAATACACAGGAATATCTTGATAGCCACAGTCATTGAATAACCATTTTCACTTATATGGATGTGAATTGGTACCTTTAATAAGTCTGCTGTGAACCTGTAGTTCTTGTTTGATAATTGTAAGAAAATATTCAGGGCAGGAACTCTGCTCTGATGGCATAGTGTCAGTCTCGATTTTCAGATGATCCTATGGATTAGAAAGATACTACCTTTAAAGTATACATGGGTTTTTTTGTCCTTCTCATTAAAAAAAACTAAAACCTATGAATGAAGAGATTAGAAGTATTGCTATAATTGCACCAGACAGATAAGTCATGTAAGCAAAAATCTTAGGCATGTGAGAATGACTTTCTATGTAACTTTTAGCTGTCTTTCCCTATTGATCAGAAATCCTTGCATTTCTGGACATTTTTGTCATGAAAGCAAGGTTTTT